TGAGCTGCAGACTTGTAGCTATGATACTACTGACTGCTCTGAAACACCTTCCCCAACCTTGAGCCAGATGTCTGCTGTGTCAGATGGCACCACCTTAACCAACACTGCTGCCACTTCTCATGTAATTATGCTTCCTTTTTTCCTCCTCCATTTGTTCAAACAGGTTGTCAAAGGGGAACAGAATTCCAGCTTGTCTGTTATCCCATTACACAGACAAGTATGTTGTTAGTAGTTTTCCATGTTTCCAGTCTGACAGTGTTTTGCAACAGTTGTTTAAAAAACAATCATTTGCATAGCAGATTTGATAGCAGGAAATTATGCTTGTTACGTAGTTGTATGGTCAGCTAAGGTATGTCAAACACTTTGCTTAAAGTAAAAGAAAATAAATTCAGTAAATATCTGTTCCAAATGCATTAAAAGTAAGAATTCTGTAGGATTTAGGAAATTTGTTTAAAATATTGCTAGCTACTTACAGGTTTGTGGAGTTTATAGCCTCTGGGCTACCACCATTCTTGGTTTATACTGAGGTACAGATTTCAATAATGTAATTTGTAAATTCCTAGTAAGTGTTGACAATGTTTAATGTAGTTTTTTCCCAGCCATGACCACTGACTGCACAAAACTGGTTTTCTCTTCTCTAACTAACCTTTTCCTCTGCTAAGCACAGTTTCTTATAGGACTGAACTTCATAAATAATCTTTTATTACTCAAGTGTTCTGTCACCTCTCTTGCTTAATTAAGTCAAGGGGAAAAAAGCAGTTAGACATTTCGTATGTACATTCACTTTTCTGTACCTTAGTACACTCATATATGTGTGGAAAGAAGGTATGGAATTTGGGTCAAATCCAGATCACTTCTGATTTCTTTTGCGATTATCTGCATGATTAAAATGAGTCAGAACAAAGCCTTCATTTAAATTGAGCAATTCATTGCTGAATTGCAAAACAGAGAGATGTTCTGAGTCCCGAGTTTTACTGGGTCACAGAGTGTTCAAACTTTGTACAAATACTTCAGCATGCTGTAATTTTCAAGTCTGAAAAGAACAAACATGTATATGTTTTTAAAGTTTCATGTATATTTTATTAAAAGTATTTTGAGCCCCAACTTGCACATAGTCAACTGGAAAGTCAATGATCTGTTTCAGTGCTCTCGATGCTTCTAAAAAAAGTGATATTAATAACAGGCATGTTAAAAGCTGTAATTCCTAACTCTTGTAACACAACTCTGAAACCATTCATTTTTTAAGAATCAGTATTATGAATCTGCATACAGCCCAGTACTTGTAACCAAAAATACCATAATCAGTGTAGACTGGTCAGGCACAGTCACTGCCTGACCATTTACTAGCTATGGGAAACATAGATGACTATTTTAGAAGTAAGTTAGAAGAAAATATAAATGTTCCAACTGTATTTGTTTTCTTTGAGCACCATTTTTTATAAGCTAAAGTGAACAGTCCTTCCTCATTTCCTTTTTTGGGTAGTCTCCCTGTAGAAGGCTATGTCAGGTCTGACCACCAGTTTCCCTCTCAGACATGGCAGGGATGAGCATAACAGTTGTTCACCATTAATGGAAAAAACAAAAGGATGAGTCTCCCACCAAAGGACAAAATTCTCAAACAGTCCTAAGATCCCCACAGAAATTAAACTGCTGGCAAGACCCAACTCTGCAGTATAGAAGAATCTTCATCTCCCACCCTCTGTAGAAGAGGGCCAGATGGCTATAAATGTATCCATGAAATGACAAAATGATGGGGAAGCTGGTGGCACACACACGTGTTGCTAGTGGTTCTACTCCTGTAATGATCTTCCTTCTCAGTGGTGATTCCTGTTGATTTTGTCGATGAAAACTGCTGAGAGAATAATATAAGTAATATAGGATTGGGCATAAGATGGAACCATGCTTTCAAAAACTTTATGTCCACATTGCAGATGTTTGTTTATTCTTGAATTTCTTAATGAGAGTTTAGGCAAAAAAAATTTAAAACAGTTCTTCTAAGAAGCAGCAGCAGAATCAGGAAGACCTTAATCAACAAGATTGGAAAATATTACAGGCAAAAGGCAGAGCTAAATGTATAATGGGTTTATTTGCTATAAAATTCTTTGAAATTTCAAATTCTTTGAAAACCTATATATGAGAACTGATTTCGTATTTGAGCTTATGCTTAGAATTGGAGTTAAAATGCGAGAACAGCTGGTTTTGTAAACTGTTTTTTCTGATTCTATTCCAATTCTGAACATTTCCCCTATAATTTTCATGGGTTCTTTTTGTTTGAAATTTTGGAATCTAGTGGAAACTTGGAAATAGAAGTACACATAAGATTTTTGCCTTTTCCCAAGTTTTGAGACTGTCTCGAGCTTCAAGAATTGATCCTGATTATTTTAGCCTAATTCAGTGTCTCGAGATCAGGAGTGTGCTGTGCAGCAACATTCCTGCACAGAACTACTCAGACATCCACAATAGGATGTCTTTCCCTTAGCTACCTGCCTCAGTAGAGAGAAACTTAGAAAGCAGCACCAGACCCAAATGGATGCTTTTCTCTGTTCTGATTCAGAAATCCAGGGTGCTGCTCTTTCTGATGCTCAGGCAAAGGAATTTTAAACCTGTACCTAGGAGGAATCTTTACATGACTTTGACTATCTAGCAGCAGAAGTACGTGGCTCTACTAGCAGTGAGGCACAGGTTAAGTACACTGGAGAAAAATAATAAATGGATGTGCCTAGGGAAAGCAACATCATGTGAAAAATTAGGGTTATCTTCCCAGTAAATTGGAAAATAGGTACATTTCAGTGAAATAGGGGTTTTTTTCAGATAGTCTCATCTTCCCACAAAGAAGACTACCTAGGAAAGTAAGAAGGCCTAATTCATGAATAGCCATCCTAAAGGATTTCACTTCCTTGTAAAATATGGGAACAAACTCTGTCACCTGGAACTAAAACATCACATTCCCAGACTGAAATGTCAGTAACTCCAAATGATTCCAAGGGAAGGAAAGGCCTTAGAAACTTTGCAAAACTGTCTTTTACACCTAACCCTCTCACCAGTGCAAGATGCATCAGATAATCAAATGAAATAGCCACCTTCATAGAAACTTCTCTCAAAGAGAAAGTAATTAGGAACTAAGAAATTACAGCTGAGCTGAGATCCTCTCTAAAACTTTTAGAAGCAAACTCAAAAATACCATATATGAACATGCCATATATATATATATGACTGATGTCTGTCAACTGCTTGTGTGGATCCTATTTTCATGATGCTGTGTATGATTTAGTTAAGAGCCTTACTGTCTGAGCTATTTGGTAAAGCCTTCACAGGAATATAGCATTTTTTTATTACAGAAATTCATAGGAGTAGCTTTCCAGTCTACAAAGAACTCACACTAGTTCTGCTCAGAGAAACAAAAAGTCATAGTAAATGAGTAAGAAGATGTAAGGCTCTGCACAGAGTTGTACCCCACCTTCCCTAGAAACAAGCTATCCAAAAAGACCATGTACAGGAAGAGAGAATGGATGAACTCCTTAAGTAGGGTAGAGAGGGCTGGCCTCATCTCGAAACCTTGTCTGAAAACATGGGTTCATACCTCTTGAAATGCTCTCTTTAAGCTTATGTAGCTTTTGTATCCTTGCAGCTCCAAGGGGTTTTGGAGGGAAGGATGGTTTGAGAAAAGCCAACTTAATTTACACTTTGGTTCTAGACTTTGTTAAGGGAGGAAACATTTAAATACGAAATTTTCAATGGGAGACATCATCACAACAGAAACTTTTCAGCTCACTTCTGAAAACAGACATCCTCATAATGAGAACCCCCTGAATGCATCCAGGAGTTCATGTGATATCTGCACAGAACCCAGAAATTGTTTTGCTCTCTTACCTGTGGGAGGCCAAGATGTTAAAAATTTCAAATTAGATCACTAATCTCTGAAATACAAATGTATACAAATGGTCATGAACCATTTCTTTTTTAAATGTAAAATTAGTATGCCTTTTAGTACATTTTTAATTATCCTTTGATACTTCAGATAGTCTCATGTTTTACATTTGCAGCATATTTTAGTTCTTTTATTATATAAAATTGAGCAAAGTTTGTAGTTCTAACTTTATTCAGATTTAAAGAAGAGTTCTGCATTAAAAGACATGTTAGAGAGAGCTTCCCTTTTCTGCTGAAATATTCACTGCTCTCTTATTTCATTCAATGCTTTCTCAATATCTCAGTTTCCATTCTTTCAATACTCCCCTTAGAAGTACTACAGCCCAGATGTAGGGATTCTAAACTTGGGGGCAGATAGTTTCCTCTTGAGAAGTACCTCTTAAAACTAAAGCCTAAATGACTTGTGATGCTGCTATGCTGGCAGTTTGCTTGGCTTTCCCATTTTATGTATTTGATTTCATTCTGTTGTTTTGTGGTTGTGAGTTTGGTTTGGGGGGTTTTTATTGGTGCTATTTATTTTTTATATGGTATGCATCCCGTAGTCACTGCAGTTGACTTATATTTTTAAAGGGGCTTTGACTCACTCTGTTTAGCTGATCTTAATCTTTTCCCTTCAATCTGCACAAAAGTTCCCACTAATATCAATAATGCTTGAGCATGTGCATTAGGAGAATGTCTCTTGAAGTGAGAGATTTGTGGCAGCAGCGTTTATCACACGATGAGAGGAGCTTTTACTGCCATCTTCATTTTGTATTGCTGTCAGACCTACACAAGCCCTATTTGTGCCATCCTCACTGCCTTGACCATGATCTTTGTGTCACCTTCCCATGACAGCATGCGTCACAGACAGCACATACAAGGAGAGAAGAGGGGTGGTACAAGGTATATAAGGAACACATTCTGCTCCCCTTGTGATAAGTGTTGTGTTTCAGTGAATGCAGATGCCATTATGGCTAGGTACCTGACAACTGATAATTGTTTCGTGGATGACAGTCTTGCATCACTCTTTGTTTGGGATGGCAGTCGGAGGGCTTTGTGTGTACTTTAATGGAATATTGTTTTGTCTCTCTCAGGCTCAGATCACAGTGAATGGGAATTCTGGCACTGCTGCCAGCCCAGTGAGTTACTTTCAAAGGCCTTTTTCCCCTTCTTCAGCTTACCCTCCACCAGCTTCACTCAATTCCAACATTGTTATGATGCAGCATGGCAGGATGATGGGTAAGCCTCACACAGAATGTTTGCCTTATACATTGCACAGTATATTCCAATTCATGTGGCAAAGACTGCAAACGATTGCAAAGTGCTTCATGTCCATAATGAAGGTATTGTCTGTTCTTTTAACTTGGGAAGTAAATTTGTTGTTACATACAGTAGTGATCCTGAACTGGAGTTGCTATTAAGTTTTATTACTTAGGCGTATGAAAATAACCTCTTGCCAACGTTCTACTAGCTTTAACCGGGAAAGAGAATCTATCTTAATAGCTCAACCTACCCAGCCCCTTCAGATTTTGCCTTCTTTAAGAAACGAAGGACCAACTTTGTACATTGGTCCTCCCCACAACTTCTGGAATCTTCAGCAAATACACTCCCAAAACAGGGAGGGGCTCTGGGCTTTTAAGCAACTAAAGCCATGTCAATCTAAAATTTATCTGTTTTTCAGAGCATTGTTAATTTAAAAAAGAAACACAACAAACATTATCAGCATTAGAAAGGGTCTTTGCCAGTATAATCCAGTTTACCAGAACAGTCATTTGCTTGCTGCTTTTTCCACCAGTGTTTTGTATATTCAGATAAGATTATACATACAAAATAATTTGAATATGATCCTGGAGTTTACTTTTTTGTTATGCATGCAGGGAAATTAACTGGCAGTTCTTCCTCTGAGACTTACAGCTTAGACAAATGCTGCTGTCATTGTAGAGATAAGCACAAAAACTGTATGCATAGGGTTTTCCACATCCCAGAAATCTAGATTCTTTGATTGCTCCCAGTCTGCTTATCTAAAGACCTCTCGGTTCTGGTTTGGATATACCTGAAAAAAGTAAAGTATTTTTCCATGACTTCACTCCCATATGATGCTGAAGTTCAGTGTTCCACAGTAGCAGCCTGATTTAATTCTCCTTGCTCATGTAAAAATCCCCCGATGGCCTGTTTGAGGCCTATGAAGAATGAAGGATCAAATCCAAAATGTTTTCTAAATTTAACATCATGCATTTTGGGAAAAAGTCCCAAATATCCAGACGTTTGCCACGCAAAGTTGCCCCTCACCATATATGTGTAGCACTGGATTATTTACAGTATTTTAGACCTGAGTCAACAGCTGAAACAGCTATGCCAAATCCAGCTCTGCAGTGGGACTGAGCAGAAATATTCAAATTAAAATTAGAGCTTGCTCTCACCAGAACTCCTTTTGCTGATTCATATATTTTTCTTCAGAATAATCAATGGATGTCAACATCACATGAAAGGCAATTGTAATTGTCACCATTAGTGTTAGAATATATATTTTCACTCACTGCATTCATTTATCCTGCAGTGGAAATGTCTTACTGTACCTGCTCTTGCAGAAAAAGAGGCTTTGTCATAGCAGCCCACTAATCCTGCTGCCTAAAGGAGTAGGGCTCTTTTTCCTGTATACAAGAAGGAGGGGCATCATCTGCAGCAGTACAAGTTTTTGCATCACATCCCAGCAGTGAGGAGGTTTTTATTAAATAAATTACTCAGAATTTTAGAAGAAAGTGGTAATAGTGATATATTAATTTCATTAACTATAAAGGAAGATTTGAGGGAGAAGGGTAGCAATGTTGCAAGTCACCACAAACCAGTAGAAGCCTGCACAGTTCACCTGAAGTACTGTAGGTGGATTATCAGATTGCTCTACAGGTGCCAAGTTGCTGAAGTCCCATTTTTATGGATTTTACAAAGAGACACATAAATATATCAACATATTTTAAGGGAAGAAAATCATATGGTAGAATTTGTTTCTTAAAAATATCCATGCATTAAAACTTAACGTTTCTAAGCACATATTACATGTTTTTGTGCAGGGCTGTTTGCTGTGCTTACAGAACAGCAATTTTCTATAGTTTGCTAGACTTGCGGGATGTAAGTTTTGAAATCATGTTGCTAGTTTCTAAGGAATGGGTAGGAAAAGTGCAAGAGTTTGATTTATCGGAGAAAGGTTGCTGTGCCTTTCTCAGTAGACTTTGCTGGGCTTTTTCTTTTTTTTTGGGGGGGAGCAAGATGTTGTGAAAAAGTACTTCTAAAAAGGTCTGAGCTGAATGGCCCATCTGGTTCTTAGTAAATTTGTAATTCTCTTAATGTAACATTATGTA